CTGAAAGTGACGGATAATAGATAAGTTCAATGGTCGGAATCAGGAGGAGATTGAATGAAAATCAGGGGAAGAAAATTAGACGTAAGTCTTTTCTGGAATAGGAAAATGAGGGGACACGGTATAGGATGTAGGTGAATAAAAATGACTTTTTGTCTATGATATCATTAAGAATAATATAAATAATTTATACGACATAAAACCTTGTTTGCCTCATTTATATCATTTGACCACCTTCGCCAAAAGGGTCATATTAGTGTCATATTATAAAGTAAGCAGAAGCCGTGGGAGTCTGAACATGAATTAACAATAAAAAAAGAGTGACATGAGATTATTGTAACAAAGCATGTGAAAATTTACTTTCGTGTTTGTAGTTCAGTTTTCTCCTGTTTTTATAAATTCTCTGGAAAACTGGTCAATTCACTATTGTTTTTTTTCCCCCCTACATAAATACATAAATTCCCTACATAAATAAAACAAAAAAATAAAACAAATTTAATTTACTATAAAATTTATAAAACTTTTTGAGTTTCGTCTTTAAATTGTTTGAACGAAAAAAAAACGATGGACCAAAAGAGAGCCGCAGATACTTTAACAGGTACGTTTGATATAAGTTCTCGATTGATGAATTTTATATTATTGTTATGTCTCAATTTATTCAATTAGATTATTTTTTACAGAAATCATTCAAGACCTCTTCTCTTATGATGAGGACCGTTATAAGCATGTTCTTGAAACCTACTTTATTGAAAATGCCAAGTTATCTCATCCTCTTTTGAATGTTGAAGGAACACACAATATTCGTAAAGTTTTTCGAGTGTGGACTTCTTTAAATTGCCTTCCACCAGAAGTTTCCGATGTTCCAATCTTCGAGTTAGTATTGTTTAACTATTAACTGCGCATTAGTATAATTTCGAGGATTTAAATTTTTATAATCTATTCTTCTCATTTAATAAAAAAAAATTAGTGGTCATACTGCTGTAATTCGAGTAACGCAACATTTAAGCCCTAGGGTTTTTCCTTTCGTTGATTTCAAGATTCCTTCAGTTACAATCTTAAAGTTCTGCAAGAATGATGATGATGGCTTACTTTACATTGAAAAACAAGAAGACAATTGGACTCTCGAAGGGCTTATTCAAAGCGTTCCTTTAATTAATTGGTGGTATGATTGTGTGGTACGCGTTGTTGTAGGTGACCTTGTGGCCCGCGCTGGCTCTTTTCTTGCAACTGCAAATCAAGCAACTTCTCATTTGGCTGTCAAAGCTAACGAAATAAGAGATAATGGTCATTCAGCGATCGCTCAAGGTCAAAATACAGCAAAGGAATATTTAAATCCAATCCAAACATATATTACCCATAGTTATTCGAAGGGTCAAGAATTCGTTGATCAAGCTAAAACCTCTGTCAAAAATCAGTTCTCTAAACTTGGCGGCAGCGGAATTCAATCCAACGGAACCATTCAGTCTACTGAAATGATGGCTGCACATTAATTTCTTTTATATTCATAATTATATATTTGTATATTTTACATTTGCGATAACTTTATGTTTCTCTTTTTCATTTCAATTTTGATCTTTAATT